GCAGAAAGACTCATTGTTTTTGCTACTAACACTGAGATGTTGGCACATGCATCTCTAGCCTGTATGTATCTGATTATTATTAGTCATAATCAGTTTCACTTGGATCCTTGGCGCCTGTGTATGTCTATAAAGTCATCAGGTAGATTTCAGTGGCAATATTTATCACCTCTACTAATTAGCATGACATAAATGTCCATGCTTCCTCCTCAAATATAATACATTTTTAAAAATTTATTTTTTGTGTGTGTGTATATCACACAGAACATCACAAACCATCTTATTAGACTATATACTCACTTCCCAGATGGCACCCTCCCATAGCCTCCCTCTCCCCACTTATAGCCTCCCTCCCCCAAGGGGTCTATAAGCATCTCTCAAAATGTCCTGTAATTGTGGTGGGTCACCTGTCCTCTTGATCAAGGAGGCTGAGGAGACCCCACCAGATGGACTTGAACCATCTGTGTCCAGTCTACAAAGAGGAATAAAATTTTTTTAATACACATAAATTAATTTTTTTAAGTTTCACCAAAGAGGTGGCTTGTTGGCACCACCCATCAGTGCGGCATCAGGCAGGGCTCAGTGTGTACTGCCGCTTTACAAATGGAATCACCTTTCCTGCACCCACTGTCTTCTAACTGTACCTATGAGTACTATTTTCAGATATTCTTCTGTTTTAAGCTTTTTATTTATTACTTTGAATTTTAAAAAATTATTTTTTATTCAGTTATCTACCCTATTTGATGGAAAGAGAAGAGTCATTTAAACAGTATTCTCTTTTTTATTTTCTTTTGTGAGACACTCTTGCATATACCAGGCTGGCCATAAACTCCTGATCCTCTGCCTTCACTTCCCCAGTCCTGGAATTATAAGTGCCATCATGTTTTACTTTGTTTTTTCATTTACTTTTTTATTTGTGCTGCCACTACTCAAACCCAGGACTTCATGCATGTTCAGCAAGGACTTTACCACTGAGCCACATGCCCCAGTCTAAATAGTATCCTTATACTTTAGAACAGACTAGAAAGACTACAGCCTTTCTGCCTATATCCTTTGTCATCTCTTCTAAGAACAGATGCTGTAGGGAAAGGAGTAGCCAAAGATGAACTATTATATACTCTCATGAACCATGGGATTGGTATCTTTGCATGTAATTCTATACCTACTTCAATCTAGAAGATGCTTTCAAAATGTTACTATGTAGGACCTTGGACTGTTAGGAATACAAATGTGAATTGGCCGCTCTACTCAGACAGATATACAGTGGTGCAGCGAGTACTATACTTTCTCCCCTCCAAGTACTAACCAGGCCTAACCCTGCTTAGCTTCTGAGATCAGGTAAGATCAGGCACATTCAGGGTGGTATGACTGTAGACCCTTTCTATAAAAGAAGTAAGTATGGCCAGGGTGGTGGCGCACGCCTTTAATCCCAGCACTTGGAAGGCAGAGGCAGGCAGAGCTCTGTGAGTTCAAGGCCAGCCTGGTCTACATAGTGAGTTCTAGGACAGCTGGGGCTACAGGGAGACCCTGTCTCAAAAAGACAAAAAAAGTAAGTAAGTATGAATTGTTGTAAGATCTTAGAGGAGGGAACAGTCAGTTGTGTCCAGGAAATGTGGGGGAGTACATTAGAGTAGGTAATATTTAAACTCCTTTTCTTTGATGATGCATAGTATTTAGCTAGGTAAAGAGGTAGGAGAAAGGTATTTAAGTCAAAAGATACATACAAAGGTAAAGGAGAATCAAAGTCTGTTCCATAAGAAATGCGGGCATGAGGTTGGAGTGAGCAAAATAGGATAGGAGACAGTGGGAAGTTCTGCCAGACAAGTCACCATATCCAGGATACTGAGTTAACACCACCTCTCATCGTAAAGAATTATCACCCACCATTGTATTATTTTCTTTATATTTGCATGTTGCTCTTGCTAATTCCTTGTCATCTTGCTCCATGACAGTCTGTGTCTGTGTGGGGCGTTGGAGGTCGAGTGGAAATGACTGTTTCCAAGTTCATGGCAATACAACAGGCCCTTCAGCCAGACTGGTTCCAGTGCCTCTCAGATGGTGAAGCATCTTGTGAGGAAGTTGCTTCCATAAAAAGGGCCAGAAAGTCTGTGGACCGATCACTTCTGTTCCTGGACAGCTGCCTGCGGCTACAGGAAGAGTCAGAGGTGAGGCTGCCCATTAGCCACTCCTTTCTGTGGAACTTTCCCCTCTGCAGTATGCCCTTTCTGTTCCTCTACCTGCTACTCTGCTCCTTGATTCTTTGCTTTACTTGTTCCAACAGGTACAAGTTTTCTTTGCTGAACCCCAGTAATTAGTCTTCTCTAGTATCCCATCTTAGACTCTTGTCACCATGCCCTATAAGTTGTCTCCAAACAGCCTTCCCTTAGTTTCAATTGCCAAATAATTCTAAAATTGTATATAGTATCAAGATCATTTTACTTGGGATGGAGAGTTGGCTCAGTGGTTAAGAGCACTGGTTACTCATGCACAGGACCTGTGTTTGATTCCCTGCACCCACATGGAGGCTAACATCCACTCTCTAGTTCCAGGGAATCTGACCCCCTCTTCTGACCTCCTTGGGCATTGCGTGACACTTACATATATGCAGGTAATACACTCATACACATATAAATAAATTTTTTAAAAAATTCTTATAGCTCTTTATTAATAAACTTGCTATGGGTTGCTAAACTGCAATAGTTGTCATCATGGGAGTAACCAAAATTAGATAATGTGACAAAAGATTGACAAAATGTTTCACACCCTTGAATTACACCGTGTCAAGAATGGGGGTTGGAGAATGTTGCAAAAGGAGACTGTGCTGTTGCATATATTTCTGTAGTAAAACCAGCAATGTATCCATATGGAGAGTCATCATCTCACTTCCAATTTCTTCCCCTCAAGAACAATTTGAATCTCTTTGACATCCAAAGTCTCATAGGTCAACAAAGCTTCTGCTAGATTCTTGTGCTCTTTCGCATGAGTTTTCAAGATATATTTTGCTTATTCATATGACTCCTGTAGAAGGATTCTTATTTCTTGTTCAATGGCAGATTGAGTTTCAGGACTTAGTTTTCCTCTATCACTGTAGGTCATAACTCCAAGCTTTTCACTCATTCCAAATTTGGTAATCATCCTCTTAGCAATTTTTGTTGCATTACCAAAATCACTAGAAGCACCACCAAATATAAGCTCCTCTGCCACTCTTCCTCCCATACTAACATCCATTTGTGCAAGCAACTGGGCTCTAGTTTCATTCCACCTGTCATTCTCAGGCAACAGTGACACATGTCCAACTCTTAGCCCTCTTGGCATGATTGTAGCTTTATTGATAGGCATTGCATCCTTTGTGTAATATGCAATAATAGCATGACCGGATTCATGATAGGCTGTTATGGTCTTGTTTTTGTTATCAATTTCCACACTTCTTCTTTCTGGTCCTATTAGAATTTTATCTTTGGAAACCTCTAACTCCTTCATGGTAACCATTTCTTCCATCAACAGCTGCGTTTAATGAGGCTTGGTTCACAAGATTCTCCACCTCTGCTCCAGAAAACCCAACAGTACCTCGAGCTATGATTTCAGGATCAACAGATTTATCAAATTTTATTTTATTGAGATACCACTTCAAAATTTCAGTTCACCCTTTCACATCTGGCCTTGGAACTATAACTTGCATGTTAAAACGATCAGGGTGGATTTTAAAACGTTATCTAATAACTCTGAGAAGTTTGTGGCTCCTATAATGATTCCTCCTTAATTGGGTTTAAAGCCATCCATTTCAGCAAGAAGTTGATTGATAGTCTGCCTTGAATATGGGTGCATAGGACATTCGATTCTTTTCCCACCAACAGAATCTGACTTATCAATAAATAAAACACAAGGAGCATCTGCTTTTGCTTCCCTAAAAAGGTTTCTGATATGGCTGGCTCCTACACCCACAAACATCTCCTCAAATTTTGATCCAGAAGCATAGGAAAAAGGAACATCAGCTTCTCCTGCTACAGCTTGGGCAAGAAGCTTCTGTCCTATTCCTGGTGGTCCAACTAAAAGAATCCCTTTGGAAAGTTTACCTCCAAACACAGTAAACTTTTGTGGATTTTTCAAGAATTCAATGACTTCCTGTAATTCTTGGTTTTGCTTCCTCCACTCCTTTAACATGCTCAAAGGTGACATTTTTCATCTGGACAGGATCTACTGCAGAATCAAGCCCTGTGGTTGTCTGAAGCATACTAATAAAAATGGGTTTTTTAGGAGTCCGTAAATGCCAAACAGCAGCAGAACAAAGAGGATCAGACGAGTTCACCTTAAAGAATCATTGGGTTGTTTTGGGTAAGGGCTTGAGCTTTGAGGAAACCCTCAGCAAAACCAGTTTTAAACGCATCCTGGTGAGCTTCTGGTATGTTTTTAGTTTTCATAAGTTTGTCCAAATGCTCAAGATCTGTTCCTCTGTCTCTGAAAAGATGCCCCTTCATAAATGATGGTGCTATATTTTGTGCTTCTGCTAATCTTTCTGAGGTGGACTGCAGGCATCGTGCCCTTGACTTCAAAGTCTTAAAACCTCGAGACTGTATGAAAATTGGCCAATACCGAAGATCTGAACAAATGCTTTCAAGAGTTCCTGGTTGTTGTCTGTACAAGCTAGAAGAATATAAAGTACTGAACATATCTAAGTAACCATATTTGTTTTCAAAGAAGGACTGTACAGAGACATGCAATGTATGACATTGGGAAGAGACTCTTCTGCCTTTATAAAATCCAGGAAGTAAATTTTCTACCAGTTGATCAATCTGTCCTATTTTTAATTCTGATAACCCAAGGTCCTTTAAATTAAGTTCAGGCTCATGCTGGGGGCTTCATGCTCAGGACTGTATCTTGATGCTGGTTCTGAGAAAACTGACGTACTGACAGAAACATAGGTTTTTTGGTGCCTGGAAGGCATTGATGAGATGACTGAGGTGAACTGTAGCCTAGAGAAAGAAGTTCAAATTAAGTGGCAAGGCCTTTTGTTAGTTTGATTTTTTTTGAGAGAAGGTCTCACTTTACAGCCCTGCTTGTGATGGAACTTGCTATATAGATCAGGCTGGCTAGAATCCATAAAATATTTTTTTGCCCATGTGACCCCTGAGGAACAGATCCTTAAACAACCTTGAAAGTAAAAATAAATGGGTTTATCTGTGCCAACTATATGGCCTTAAACACCCAAAAGGAAAGTATAACCAAAGATTAAAGGGGCCAATATAATTTTTTAAGAGTCCATATGCATAGCTAAAGGCTACATAAGCAACAATGCCAGATAGGCGATATCTTCTTTTGAGTTGTTGGCCAGGGTGGCCAAAGGGACTCCCAGATAGTAACCCAGCATAGAACTGGGAAAATGAACAGCAGACTCCAATCTTATCTAAAGGAATATTGACAACTGATTACCGTTAGATGAGGAACAGCTGACCTTCCTAAAACAAAGACCTCTAGATAGGCTGACTAGATTCACCAGAAGGGCAAGTAGTGGGGAATGGCTGGGGGTGCCGACAACACAGCAGACAGTAGCAGGGATATCAGAGTATAAGGGCTCTAGTGGCGGGGAGAGGCTATGTGAGGGTGCCATCTAGGAAGTGGGTGTATAGTTGAATAAGATGGTTTGGGATGTTCTGTGTGATATACACACACAAAAAGAAAAATCAAATTTTTAAAAATGTATTTCGGGAAGCATGTAAATTTACGTCATGTTAATTAGTAGAGGTGATAAACATTACCATTGAAATCTACCTGATGACTTTATAAACATACACAGGTGCCAAGGATCCAAGTGGATCCAAGCAACCAATTATGACTAGTAATAATCAGATACATAACAGATTAGAGATATGCACCAACATCTCAGTGTTAGCAGCAAAAACAATGAGTCTTTCTGCAACAAAGTGAAATGGAGATCTTTTTTAAAGGTTAAAAACTCATTCACTTTTATGTCTTACAGGGCTTATACTGAATTCAATATTGTATAACTATTAATTCAACTGTGAAGCTAGAAAGTTACAGCCACTTCTGAAAGAGATGTACTCTTGTTCTGGAGTGTGTTACTGAATATGTTAAAGCTGTAATGAAATGCTTCTTCTAATCATGTAGTTATTAAAAATTTTTTTGAAAATAAGATCATTTTACTTACCTTGAGATACGTAAGCACCTAACTACTGGGCTAAGTTATGACTCTAGATTGTCCATCAAACTCAGATACTACATGATTCCCTGTCTTATGTCCTCAGACCTATTCTTCCATTTGGTCTTCATTATTTTACTTAATTCATGGCATCCACCAAGATTATAGCCCAGGATTTTGAACTTTTCAAGACTTATTTCTCATGCACACTTACTATCCAGTTGTTTACTCTTCCTTGATGCCTTAAACATGTCTAGAATCTGCCTCTTCGTGATTCCTGTCCCATCTTAAACCATGCCAAGAACACCTCAAAGGTGTTCTGTCTCCTCCATCCTCATTTCTGTCCATCTTCAGCTCTGCCTTCCAAGAGACTATTTAAAGCACAGATGTGAGACCAGTGCTCACTTTCAGCGACTCTTCACTTCAGCTCTTACTTGAATAGGCAGTCTGCTGTCAGCTGGCCTCCCCTGCTTCCCCAGCTCACCATGAACTGCTTTTTCCTATGACCAGTACTCTGGCCTTTCTGAGTTACTTGAAGTTCCTTCAGGCATTCATTTGTTCATTCTGGGGCACTTGGACCCAGGCTTCTCCTGCCTCCCCCCAGACTTTTCTTCTCTCTAGCCATATTCCTTCTCTTTTTTCCAATGAATCAAAGATTCATTCATCATTTTATGAAACTGGTTCCTCACACTTCCAGGAAGTTCTAGTCATCTTGTTATCCCTTTAATTTTTATGTGCTGTTACCTGCATTTTGCATGTCGTTTGTTTTTGGTATCTTCATCACGTAGCAGAGTGTCTGACACATAGTAAGTCCTCAGTAAATGAGGTGATGAAGAGAAAACTTGTCGCAGTAAATCACAGAGCTCCAGAACAGGATTAATGAAGTTGGTAAAGGATGCAGTACTTAGTAAAGAGAAGAGGAGGCAAGGAAACAAGAGCTAGTGATCAGTCAGAGGTGACTTGTGCCTGTAATCCCAGCACTCAGCACCTGGGATACTGAGGCAGGAGGATCATGAATTCAAGGTCAACCTAGGCTATCTAGTCAAGACCTTGTCTCCAAATAATAAAAATAATAAAAGTGATCAATAGGCTGAATTTTGACTTTTACAGTAAAGTATAATTTGGCTGATAAGCTTAATGTACATGAAATAGGGGAAGCTTCATTGTTATTTGGAATAGAACTTATAGAGTATCTGTAAAGACATCCAGCATGGAGACTTTACTTTGGATCTGGGCTATAATGTAGGCTTTCTAGCAGTGTTTTGAGCCAGTAACTAGCCTTGTAGAATTAGTAACATTTGGGTAAATAGAAAGCAGGACAGGGGATGTGATAAAGATGATTAGAAAGTCCAAGTGAATTTCGAGGCCTTCATCCATGTTATTGTATTTAGCCTTATCATATCTAATTACTTATGTGTCAAATGCTGGGATCCCACTCTATATCCTTCATGTTTACACTGTTGTCTTGATAATGCTAATAGTGCCTTCTCTTCTTAAAGTGGTCCATTTTTTATAATAAATTATACAGCCAAACCTCTTACATCTATGTAAAGGAGTTTCCTAAACAAGGCTGTGGGAGTCATGTGGAGGAAGGGGTAGGCCTGTGCAGTTGTCTACTTTGTAGATATGCATGCATCTTTCCCCCTTTTTCTTTTTTTTAATTTATTTTTATTTTATGTGTATAAATGTTATGTCTGCATGTGTATAAATGTAATGCCTGAGGAAGTCAGAAGAAGGCATTGGATCCCCTGGAACTAGAGTTACAGATGGTTGTTAAACTGCCCTGTGGGTGCTGGGATTCAAACCCGGGTTCTCTGAAAAAATAGCCAGTACTCTTAACCACTGAGCCAGCTCTACCCCCACCCCCCACCCCCATCTTTTCCTTTTTCTGTGACTCCTTCCTTGTCTTACTCACTGGTTCTGTTTTGGCATTTTTTTCCTCATGCATTCCCTAGGTTGAGGATGGCAAGCAGGTTTCATCTACGGTAGTTGGAACCATGCCAGTGCTACGGGAAGTGAGTTGTCTGTTAGCCACGTCTGCTGTGGAAGCAGGAGAGGGATGAGGTGGCATCCTGCCCAGTGTCTACTAGAGTAGTCTGGGCACTCTCATTTGTAGCATACGTATCTAAAACCTAAGCTTCATATGTCGAGTTAAAGTTGCTGTTTACAAATCCCAGTGATGCATCACATTTAGAATACACCAAATAGAATAATCATTTTATCACACTCTTCACTCTTCTAGGATTATTTCCTCTTTGCTTGTCATCTTCTCCTTGGACTTCTAAAACAGAAAGTGGTAGTTCTGGAACTCATTGCTATACTATATTCAGAAGACTGATCAGTCAGGTTGTGTTGATCCTCCTGTTGTGCTGTCAAATGTTGTTAACTTTCCTCTGCCACTGCCTTAGAGTAGGAAAGTTGTCTGTACCCTACCCTTTTTTTTTTTTTTTTTTTTTTTTTTTTTTGTCTGTTTGGGGCAGGGTCTCCTTGGATCCCCAGCTGGCCTGGAACTTGCTATATAAACTAGTCTGGCCTCAGTCTTACAGAGATCTTCCCGTCTCTGCCTCCCGAGTGGGACTAATGGTGTGCACTACCACTCCCAGCTTGTACCCCACCCTTAACCATACCTACCCTTAACTCTCCACACTAAGTGAGAGTAGTCTGTGTCTCTCCTGCTTAAGGAACAAAATCCCTTCTCACAGTGCTCCAGATTCCTTCCCCATCCCTCTTTCCCCAGCAAGCTACTTTTGATTTGTGTATACACATGTCTATAATACATGAATGTGATCATGTTTTAGCAGTTTCCTTGATTTCCATTAACAGTGTCCTGAAATATTCCCTGTCAATGTACATATTAGTATTTTCTTGTATTCTTTTAAAAGCAGCTGCATAGGAAGGCATTCTTTTATTTTTTTTTTTTACTCTACTGTCTTGATTTAGACTGTTCACAGTTTTCATTACTCTGAAAATCTTTGTAAATACACCTTGATGCATATGAGCAAATATATTTATAATAGATATATTGTTAGAAATGGAATTTTATGGCTCAAATATAAAAGCCATTGCCATTTTGATACATTGCCTACTTGCCCTCCTAGGAGCTGAACTCGTTTTTGCCCTGGTTACCAGGGTAAATGAGTGCCGGTTCTCTTCCGTTTCACTTCCACTCTGTTGCCTGTGTTTTACGTCTTTTGTCACTGAGATGGCAATCTCATTGTTCCCAGTCTGCATTCCTTACTGGTGACTCAGTAGTTTTCCATTATGTGTGGAACTCAATTCACATTAATTTTTCTGCGTTTCATTTTCATGTGTTCTACCTAGAATGGGGGTGGGGGATGTCATTTCCTTCGAAGACTTGTTGGAGCTTTTTCTGTGGTAAAGATGTGTATTCCTCCAAAGCACAAATTCTTCTTTGCCTTTCTTATGGTCTGTTTCACTTTATTCATTTATGAATGTCAGCCATTTTCTATGAGCTTTAGGTTCCTTAGGAAAGACTTATTTCAGATGATAAAAAATTCCAATAGTCTCTAATACCTGCATAACTATATTATATTTAGATAATAGTTTTATGAAATTTGATTTGTTTGAGCATAATGTGTAGTAGTCTTTATTTTTTTTCCAAATGGATAGTCTGTTGTCTTAGCTGAACTGTCTCCAAGTTTCTAAAGTTATTTCTAGCTAAGAGATTTGGAGGAAGCATATAAAGCAGGCCTGGCTAGTCATTTAACTAAAACTCTTCCTTTTGTCATTTTCTTTAGTACCTGCTCAGGGTACATTTAGTTTAAAATAGTACATGAAACATCTTGTTTTCCCTCAGTCTTTTCCCATCTATGCAGTGTTCTTTGCAGTGTACTCTTTAGAGTCCTAAAGGTTTTTAGGCTACGCCACCCTGCTTCGACCTTTCATCTGTAGCACCTTCACTGAGCCATCTGTCTATTGATGGTTCCATTGATGGTTCCTGTAAACAAAAGTTTCAGATACTTAAAATGGTTGTCACCCGAGTTCTATTAGGGTCCCTTGCTCCTGACACAGGTAAACAAACCCCATATCACATCTTTATCTGAATTTTGCATAGTTTATACTTTTGGGGGTGGGGTGGGGAAGGGGATTTACAAAGAAACAAACACCCTGCACCCAGCTCTGCGTGGCTTTTGCCCACAGTCTGCCTCATCTTCGAGTTCGTGCATGCCCACTCACCCCACAGAGTTCTGTGAGGGGGTCCACAGGGTCCTCATGAGGTCCCCCGGCACCCCACAGGGTCCAAGGCAGGCTGACTCACCTGCTCCCTGTTAAATCCTTTCCTTCCAATCTCTCCCCACACTAGGCTCCACCCTTCTTCCCAGGGTGCCCTGGTAGCCCATGGCTCTTCAGAAGTCGGGGAGGAATAAATCGTTTTCGGGCTACATGATTAAGAACATTCAGTCCTTTTTTTTTAACTTTTACAAAAACTTTTTTGAGAATTTCATACATGTATATAAGGTGGTTTGATCAAATCCTTTTTTGAATCTCAGGTCCTTCAGAAAAGTGTGATCATTGGAGTGATTGAAGGCGGAGATGTGATGGAAGAGAGACTGAGGTCCGCACGAGAGACAGCCAAGCGGCCAGTCGGGGGCTTCCTTCTGGATGGCTTTCATGCGAATCCAGCAGTCACAGAAACCAGGCTGCGCTTGCTGTCATCAGTCACTGCGGAGTTGCCAGAGGACAAACCAAGGCCAGTGCTTGGTTAGGAGGCAGGGCAGGGGTGATGGTGACTGTGCTGCAGAATCTGCAGGATGTGCCTTTTCATTTTTGTTTGTCCTTCCTGTTGTTCTCAGCTGACTGTGAGGGAACTTCTCCAACCAAGGAAGGGCAGCCTAGATGGAAACCTCCCTCATGACTGAGGGCAGGCGTTGTGCTGTTTCCTCATTCTTGAGTCAAATTCAAACACTGTTTTTATTCATTATAACCTGGTTCCTTGGGACAAGTGTAAACTCATGTAGAACTCTAGTTTGTCCAGGCATGCTGAGATATGGGATGCTTAATAGAATTAGGATGAGGATGTGCTCTGTTAATAAGAACCTTTAGGGACTGGAGAGATGCCCTGTGGTTAAGAGCATATACTGCTCTTGTAGAAGACTCAAGTTCATTCTCAGCAGCTGTGTAGCTCCAGGGGATGCAGCGCTCTCTTCTGGTTTCTGTGTGTGCCTACTACTTGTGCACATACTTACGCTCACATGTACACATTATTTTAAAATAAACATTTTAAGAAAGAACTTCTAAGAAATTTCTGCTGTTGAGACAAGTAGTAAGTTTTGTTTTTGTTTTTGTTTTTTAATTGATTTAACTAGTGAGATTGATTCTTGTGTTTACACATATCTCAAGATTTACTACACTGGTAACAACAGACAATCTGCTATAAATTCTGAATTTCTGAGCAGCTGGTAGATTAGGTAGCAAATTTTTTATTTTCTTTATTCATTTTTACTTTTTTGGAGACAGGCTTGTGTGTTCCAGGCTGGCCTTGAGCTTACTGTGAAGTCAAGACTTCAAAACAGAAACCTTAAACTTTGGATCTTCCTACCTCTGTCTTTGTTTTGCTGGGGTTACAGGAATGTGCCATTACTTTGTTTTATGCAGTGCCAGGGATGGAACCCAAGGCTTTGCGCATGCTAAGCAAGCACTCTGCCAACTGAGGCTACCTCCAAGGCCCATTTTCTTGCTCTATTGAAAATAAACCAAAACCAAAAATGATGGGTGAAGCTAAAGGTTGTTATATTGATTGAAATGAGCCAGGCACAGAGAGAGAGATAGTGGACTGGAGAGATGGCTCAGTGATTAAGAGCACTGACTACTTTTCCAGGGGACCCGATGCCTTCTTCTTACATCTGTGGGCATTGCATGATGTGGGTGCACTTTATGCGGACAATAAACTCATACACATAAAATAAAAATAGCAAATAAAATATTTTTTTAAAAAAAGAGTGTATGAACTCGCTCATGTGGAATCTAGAAAACACTAATCTCATTGAAGCAGAGACCAGACTCAAAGGCTAGGGAGAATGTGAGAAAGGAGGATGAGCAGATGTTGGTCAAAGGATACATAATTCTAGTTATATTGGAGGAATAAATTCAGTGGATCTGTTGTATAGCCTGGTGAGTGTAGTTCATAGTGATAATAAAATGTAGAAAGAATGAGTATTAAGTGTTACCATCAGAAAAATAATGATTATGTGAGACAATGTATTTGTTAATTGGCTAGATTTAACCATTTCACAATGTGTAAAAACTCTAAAATAATAATGTTCATGAAAAAGTCATACAGTTTATCTGTCAATTAAGAAGATTTTGTAGTCTTTTATTCTTAGGGTGAATGTTCTTGCTTTTTGCCTGTGGCTGTACTTAGAAATTTGGTTATGGGATACTATTTCATTCTCCTAAGGGGCTGTTGGATATGTAATTTTATCACTTTTTTAAAGCCAGGTGTAATGTACGTGCAGTAGAGTGCATGCATCTTAGAAACAGCTCAGTGAATTTTCACACCTGTGTACATTTGGTGTGAAGACCCCAACAGGGTCTTCCTGCCATCCCATCCAGCCTTTGATACCCTCCCCCATTTTAACATCATTTACTTATGCTTATCTGTCCCCTTCCTACACCCATCCCATTGTGCTGCAGATGACCAGTTCACATAGCTTTTCTAGCCATTTGCTGGACTTTTTTTGTGCTAAGTGCTCACAGATGTCTGTTACCGAATTTGAAAGCTGCAATTGTTTTTCTTGAAGTGTGTAGACATGCCAGCTTCAGTTGGAGTGGAGTTCTGAAACCTCACCGGACTTGAAGGAGGTTATAGTCAGGAAAACTGGCATGCATTTAAGAGTTCTGCTTGTTTAATGTTACATAAGCCTTTTCTTTAAAAAACTTCTTTTAGAAATCAGAAAGTATGTAAGCTTTTCTCTCCTAATTCAGGAAAGGGTCTTGTGGGTAGAAAATCAAACATAAAAAAGTTGTTCCAACTAGCCAGTTCTGATCAAGTACATTTCTATATCCTGTTTTATGATTGAAAGTTTTTTAACACCCCCAGACTGCCTTATCCCTAACCTTGGAAAACAGTTTTGTTCCCCAGCACAGATTTTTATTAACAGGGAAAATGTGAAGAGGGCCAGATAGATTCCTAGATTTTGTAGCCAGAGCTGAAATTCTGGGAGCAGGAGTGGCTTTTAAATGAATCTGAGGAATAAAGGAACAAAAATATCTGTAATGAACAAATTATATAAAAATAGGCAAAATGCAGTCAAAAACATATAGCTTTGCATGCTAAAAAAAAAATTGGTATAGTGTTTAGATGGCTTGTAAAGTTCAGGTTATGTATGACCCAGGATGTTGTTCAGAAAGGGTGAGTGTGGAAAGAAGCCACTGTTGCACTTTCTGTGCAGTCAGACACAATATTATTTGCTTTTTCAAATATCTCATTGGTCCTCATGATGATTCCATGGAGGTATTTATAATTGCCTTTGTTTTTAAAGTGAGAAAACTAAGCATAGCAATTAAATAACTAGTAGAATTAGATTTCAGGCTCATGTGTCTCTACCTGCAAAGCCCCAAGTTCTGCCTCCCATTGCTGTCCACTGCTGCCACTCTACCCTTGATTGCTGTTTTCCATCTGTTTTTATTTTTTTAATTATTATTTTTATTTCATGTGTATGAGTGTATTGCCTACATGTATGTAAGTGCACCCATGTCATGCAGTGCCCACAGGGGTCAGAAGAGGGTGTTTGATCCCCTGGAAATGGAGTTATGGATGGTTGTTAGCCAGCATGTGGGCGCTGGGAATCAAATCTGGGTCCTCTGCAAGAGCAGCCAGTGCTCTGAACTGCTGAGCCATCTCTTCAGCCCTATCTGGTTGTTTTTAATGCCCTGTTTTGATGTTATTTTGTCCTGCACATTGCTTCATGTCACTGTTCTCTTTACTCTTTTTACAGGCTCATTTGTGGCATCAGCCGGCCAGATGAAGTGCTCGAGTGTATTGAAAGAGGAGTGGACTTATTTGAGAGTTTTTTTCCCTATCAAGTGACTGAGCGGGGCTGTGCCCTGACTTTCACCTTTGATTGCCAGCTGAATCCTGAAGAGACATGTAGGACTTTTAAAGTTAACCTCTCTCTTATCTTTCAGTTTCTCCTATTTCCTATAAATTTCAGGTCTGACTCACAAGACTGAAATGTGTACACATAACACCAGTCTTTCATAATAAAACTCCAACTTTATTTCTTATCTGTTCCCTGGCATGTTGGCACCCAGAGCTAGGCACTTAATCCTACATATGTAGGTCATCAATATTAGGATGTGATTTTATAGTGAACAAAAACAAGACCTCTTCGGTTCACAACCTGAAAAAAAGAATATTCAAAGTAAATTCTGATAAAAATCTAAGGAAAGAAAGTCTTTGAACTTCTTAGTAAAAGTTAATCTTTTTTTTTTTCTTTCTTCGGTACAAAAGTGTTCTTGTCTGCTTTTTGCAAACTCATGCAATTAAATCATAGGGACACTTACCATAGTCTGATCTTAGTGTTGCTTTCTGCTTTTCTTTTTTTTCTTTCTTTTTTTTTTTTTTTTAACACACTGAGATATGAAAGCTCCTTTCTTGTCCCAATACTGCTTTGAAGCACTGCCATTTTCTTTTATTGTTTAGTTATTTCAAAGTCAGGACAAGCAGTTTCAGAGTCTAACACACACATGGCAGTGGAAAGGGACCTAGGACACAGACTATGCACTGAGTCCCTTGAGGCAGCTCTTCAAGGGCATGTGGGCTGCCCCATCCTCCCCGTGATTTGCAGAGGTGTTCCTTTTCCTTCTCCCACTTGCTTTTCAACCCTTTCCTGAGCTCCGCCAGCCTTCTACCTGAGTTAGGGCCCAAGACTTCTTTAAAAGTTCGTTCTATTCCCTACAAATGATTAAAATTTCATCCAGAAGATAGCACACTTTTATGAAGCAAGTTAGCTATTAATTTAAATCAGATTATTTCTGGAAACATAGTAAATTAGGTTGATCAAGTTTTTATATATATGAAGTCAATTTTCTTGTCTTTTTAGATAAACAAGAACATGATGTATGCTATAAATTTTCATGACTTTATTTACAAACAAAATTATTTTTACCAGGACAGAGGTAACTTAGTCATTCTGTACCATGAATATAGCAAAAGGAACTGATAAATTCTCTGCATTGAATGGTTCCTTTCTGGTAAAGAAAGCTAAGTTTCTTCATGACTATGAGAACTGAAATAGTTTGAACATTTTAACCCAAGTATTATTAATCTCATTTAGTATAATGTGTATTATAAATTAAAGTCCTCTGAATGTTACATGGTAAAAATTTTAAAGAAAGAAGTTGTCAGCTATTCTGCTAGATGTCAGCTATTTCCAAAATGCCAGGGCTTTGTTGTGCTCCCACCTTAGCACACAAGTTTGTGTGAACAGAATCTTTACATCTTTGTACTCAGGACTCAGGTCATTGTTTCCTTTGTCCTGGACAATATTAAGCCTCTAGAACCATCTGTCTATTTTCTTTGAGTGAACACAGATTGTTATCATTTCTTCCTAAAATACTTCTACTTGTTACTATTCAAGGTCACTGGCTTTCTGTAGAGTAGCTGGTCTTTCTTTGTAGTTCAAGAGAATGTTCTTCCATCAAGCAAAGAATTCCAGGGAACAGGGCAGGTTCCTTGGAGTGCCAGAGTCTCATGTAAAATACCCAGATTAAACCCATGTTCTCGTTCTACTATCACAAAGCCCAGTTTATTTGCATGTACACTATGATAAAGCGTAGGGATAACTACACTCACATACACACACACACACACGTGTTACACACATACATTTGGTTTTTTAAATTATTCCTTTATGACAAGATTATATATTATCTACTTGGACCCATAATTAACATAGACTTTGTTGGATATCTTAAGTTGTCTTGATGATGTAGATAGTAGGTCTGTGGCCATCTGGGAACGTACTGCTATTTCTTTTTCTTGTGTGATTTCCTTAGGATAAGTCTCACGAATGGAATTACAGGATCAAAGGTCATGAAATAATAACTTGAATAAAATTTTTCCAAAGTCCAGTCTTTATCTGATCTTCATGCAAGACTTTTTATTGGTTTTCTTTCAGTATTACAACAAAATGGGATACAAGAAGAAGTAAAATATGTGGATCAAATTAAAAAAATTAAAACAACGGGCTGCAGTGAAGAAATGACATCATTTGAAATTAGTCTGAAGGAAAAAAAGTAAGACTTTTCTGAAGTTTAGATTTTTGATTTCTGATTTTTTAAGTTTTAGTCTGTTTTAAATGTTTATGTAACTGTTCCCTTTTCAGTTTATGGCTTCATAAACTATTTATAGTTGGATATTACTTAGGCCTTCTTAAATCTAGTTCCAGATAAACCTTTTTTTCCTAAGGATGAATTTGGAAGTAATTTGTCTTGTCCGACAGTTAAGCCCCATAACTATTGCTTTATAAAAGCTGTTAGAAAGAAAGAGACCAAATCCATCGTTTGGTATCTTTATTCCTGATTACTTTAAATAATGACAGAGCAAAATAAGGATTTCAAAATAAAACACAATAGAGCTTATAAAAGCAAAAGAAACTTAAGTCATCTTGGCTATATATAAATTATAAATAAAGTTATCGATAAAGAATGAACTAAATCATCTTGTAACTTTGCATTTAATGAAAAAGTGATAATCATTAGCCTCAGAGAGTAGTTTCTGTGACAGGTAGTGCTGAGATATCTGTTGGTTTATGTGAAGAAACATGTTAGGAATCTGACTTATTCATGTCTGTGTAGTAATGATGTGGACCTACGAACTTAAGAAGGAATATAAAGACCCTACATCCTATTTATATTCTAGTGGTATTTCTTGATTGTGGATCTCAAATATCTCCTTCATTCAACTTTTTAAAAAATAGCCAAGATTATGTTTTCCTTTAAAAAAAATCAGAGTAATATAAATGATTACTACTAAAATAGCCTTTGCATTATAGACTTAATTGGAAATGTTAGTATGCTTATTCTCAGTGCTAGGTTGAATTTGGGGGACAAATTTCCAGCACTGCTCTTGACCATTTGACCTTGAAAAAGTCACTTGCCTTAATAGGTGATAGGCGGTAACAGCAATGCAATATTTAGTGTCTTCCCATCAGTGTAAGCCTTTTTGCTGTATTAGCTCATTTAATAATCCTTACAACCCAGTGAGGAGGCTGCTGATATCTATTAATAGATGAGAAACAAGTGGATATTCAGTGGCAAGCCCAAGTGAGTTGTGGAACCAGGACTCAGGCAAGGAAGTTAGCTCTTCAGAGCCCTCCTTCTAAACCCACTGTAGTAGTCTTCACCTGTAAAATGACAATAAAAATGGTCATTTCCAAGCGGAGATGCAGAGGTTAGAAAAGACAGTATATGTGAATAAGCTTCAGTGGGCTATGGAAGTAGATACTAGTTCTTGTGACAAGTGGGAGAGAAGTGTCATTTGCCCAAACGGCTTTCCTGTATCCTGTGCCTTTGCACTGTGTCTAGTAATGCTCTATGAGTGAGTGACCTAGTGAATTTCTTAACCCTCCAGACTTGGAGATTGTGTCTGTCAGAGGAACACCCCCAAATCCCCTCAGACTCATTGTGCCATCTTGTACAGGTGCCAGGCAGGATGTTATTAACCATTGATTAGTAATCTCAGCAACAGAATAGGTAGCTTGGATTGTGGGTTTCTTGTGTTCTTCACTTCCTGGACCGTTACTAGGACTTCTTTTCTCAGGTACCAGGAAGATTTTAACCCGTTGGTGAGAGGATGTTCCTGTTACTGCTGTAAGAATCACACTCGTGCATATATTCACCATCTGTTGGTGACCAATGAGCTGCTGGCTGGGGTCCTGCTTATGATACACAACTTTGAACACTACTTCAAGTTTTTCTGCTCCATCCGGGAAGCACTAAAAAATGACACACTGGCGCAGTTGAAAGAACTCATCCACAGACAGGTGTCTTGAGAACTAGTGGTTACAAAATTCAACTCTTCTCAGGAAGCAGTGATCTTAGCTCTAAGTATTTATATTCAGGAATAAAATCTGCTGGAATAAAGAACATCAGTCTCAAACTGCCCATGGGAGGGTGAAGAAATGTCTTCTCAAGACATCAATAGACTAGATTAATCAGAATGATTTGAACCATGACTTTTAAATTTTCCAGGCTAATTCTACCAGCTGGCAGATGAATTTAGTCAAAGAAAAAGGCTTTATGTGTGATAAGACACTGTTGAATTGGGTGATGAGGTTCTAGGGACCAGTGAGGTGGATGGGGCCCAAGGGAGATCGCTGTATAAGTAGCTTGTCCTCTGGATGCACAGCTGTTGCCTGGAGAAGAAATCTAGCAGGTTTGACCAAGGTTTTCTTTGTTTCTCAGGAGCTTCTTGGCACACTTTTGACTTCGTGTACCTGGCAGTGCAGTCACTCAGAAGGGCTCTCTTGACTTAACCATGCTCACCTTTCCCTGGAATATGGGACCCAAATAGTGCTTTTCTGATACTTGACCCAGGCCATATTCCTTCATTTGGCCACTTGATCTATTTGTGACTTGTCTTCCAAGAGCCAATGCACTTGCCCATTAGGAACCACATTTTGCTTAGCTGCTTTGTCTGGTTGCATAGAGCCAATGTGATGCCCCAGGCTCATAAACGGTCTAACTGTATAATGACTAGTTCATCACTTGGGGAGATCCATTTGCTGTGTCTTTATGTGGATGGAACCCTGGGTTGGCAATTAGAAGATCAGTTTCCATTCCAGTCAGTTGTGAGTTCAGGCAACTCACCCAACTTTTGAAACCCTCTAGGGTCCCTCATGAATAAATGGGGGCAGACATAGTGGGTAGGATTAAATGAACTTCTAAGGTTCTGCAACTTCAAAACTCCAGGAGCAAGAAGTTTTAGAATCCTAGCTGTACTTGTCATCCCTATTTATTAATCACTATTGGCCTGATTTTAAAAAACAAAATGCAGCAATAAGTTCTGTGGATTTTGAAGTGGTTGTTGAATTGGAATTTGCAGATCCTGAGGCTGAGTGTCCTTCCTGGGTCCTTTGTGATTCTGTTTCTGTTGATAACATGACAGGGAATTTGTGTATATGTGTGCTTTTCTGTATCAGTTTTTCTAAGGAATAGGTATGTAGGTGTAGTTTTTATAAAAATAATAAAATTTAAAAGATGCCCTTTTTTGTAGGTATAAGAAATGCATTTTTTACATTTTACTGGTTTTAAATTATAGTGGGCATTACTAAACATTATGTCTAGTAATTATGTAATTACTGTATTTTAATGTTGGGCGGTCAGCTTTGTTTTTCATTTTAGTGGTATGACTTCTTGAATGGTGAGGGATATTTATGGAAACGGTTTCTGTTCTCAAGGATCTGACTGTCTTAAATGTGTTTTGTACTTGTTTATATGTTCATATTCTTGGATCGAGACCAAACCCATTGTTGAAGGAATAGTAATAAATATCCAAGAATCTATATAAATTCATGAGTTTTAACTTATATCAGAAACACTGAAAATTCTGTTCAACACTGTTCAGTTCCATGGGCCTTTTTCTTATTATCACATTCGGAAAAAATATTTCCTTTTATATTGAAAATGTGTTAAAGGCAATAGACAGTAAACATTTTTAATTAAATTTACTGTGCATTGCCCTTTTGTGAGCCTACTCAATTATTAAATTTCTATAGTATTGAGAATGCCCTAAAGAGTTCTCATGGGAATAATATTTTGTTCTATATTTTTTAATTTTTTAAAAATTTTTATGTGTATGAGTGTTTTGCCTGCATGTATGTAAGTGCCCCTATGTTGTGCAATGCCTGAGGAGGTCAGAAGAGGGTGTTGGAGCCCCTGGAACTAGAGTTGCGAATGGTTGTTAGCTGCCATGTGAGTGCTGTGAATTGAACCCAGGTCTTCTGCAAGTGGTTAAGCCAGTGCTCTTAACTGCTGAGCCATTTCTCCAGCCCCTTGCTCTATATCTTAATATTTGTATTTATTATCTAAAGAATTTTTATGTTGAATTGTGTTATATAATTGGTGGCCATAAGGTCATGCTAGTACATAGTAAAAATGCAGCCACAATCATTGGAACTTTAAGTTTAAATTTTTTTTGGATTAATTTTGTGTGTATGTGCACAGCCTGTATGTGGCAGTTAGAGGACAACTTGGTGTAGTCAGTTTTTTCCTTCTACCACATGTGTTTCTGTGATCAAACTCAGATTGTAGCCTTCAATCCAAGTGTCTTTATCTGCTGAGCCATCTCATTCAACCCCTTGAGCATTTTTAATGTGTAGGAAACTTAGCAAATGCTAACCAGGCTCATTGACCCTCAGAAGATGTCTGTGAGGGATTGATATTATTTCTGTATTATGAACTGAGATTCAGTGGAGGGTTGATTTAGCCTGCCTGAAGATCCACCAAAAATTTCAGGTAAGTTGACCAGTTTGCCTAAGTGCATGTCACTACTCCCTCCAGGTTTAAACTCTAGCTCCACTGAGTAAAACACAACTATTAACTAGGCATGGTGTTACTTGCCTTAATTCCAGCACTCCAGAGACTGAAGTGGGAGGATTATGGATTCAGGGCCAGTCTGTGCCATGTAACAAGACCCTATCTCAAAACCTATCTGTCATTTATTTTATTTTGACTTGCTTCTTGAAGATGCTGAGAGAATCAGGGACTGAATAGAGGGGAATATGCCAGTGGGAACCTGTGCACTGGCACAGGTTCACTGTCCTATGCCAACACCTAAAGTTTAACATTACTTGTCAGTCAGTATCCACTATTCCCCTGACCCCATCACAGTTTGGGGCCATCCACACTCTGAAGAGGGTTGAAAGGATTTGGGATTTTGATTAGCTCAAATGGATGCAGTGGTCAATAGGGGATCTGAGATTTCCCATGTGTTTGGTTTTGTTATTCTCTAGAGCAGAGTAAAGAGAAAATGTTTTTCTGAAAGAGTTTTTAAACCAAATACATAATTGAAGCAATTTATAAAAAGTTCAAAGACCATCAAAAGGTCTGGGCTAGAATGCAAAGCAACTATCTTATCTGTGATTTTTTTTTGCCTGTGGAGGCAGCTTGGCGCTCACTGAGAAATGGAGTTAAATGACTATCCTGTGCCTTCCTGATTAGGAACAGGCTGCTCTCTGCAGTTTGATTAGTCTTGCTTGTCACTACAGGGTTTCAACTTATTAAAGCGGACAGTGCTGTGTAGGGCAGGGAGCTGAGAAGGTCAAACTTACATACATAGCCAGCCCCCAGCCAGGCTATGACTTTACCTAAAATATAGTGTAACATGTTCATTTTATTTATTTTATTTTATTTATTTCACATGTGTGTGTGTGTGTGTGCACGCATATGTGTGCGCATATGGAGGTCCAACTTGTGGGAGTTGGTTTTCTCTTTCTACCTTCTGGGTTCCAATAGTGAATTCAGGTGGACAACCTTGGCAGCAAGCATCTTTACCCACTGAGCCATCCTGTCAGCCTTGGTGTTCATTTTTAATATTGTTTTAAATATCTTTGCTTTCTTTTCAACCTCTCTTCTTCCTCAGGAGGTTCCCAGATTTGTGACAAGAAATCCCAATTAACAGTGTACAAAAAAAGAATGGCATAAGTCTAGCAAAGCAAAGTGGCAGGGTAATCGAATGTCCTTAACAGTCCTGGTTTATGCCTGTGATCCGGAGAATTACTAATGGCACCCCGCTTAACCTCAAGAGTGCCCTAGCTCAGGCAAGTTATATGCTCACCCAAATGAGGGTGGTAGGGGTGATGAAGCTAGAGAGCAGGTGGCCATCTAAATGGCACAGCTGCTGCCCACTTCTCACTAATGGCAGCTGTGGGTCCAGTCCTGTCACACATTCCAGTCTTTTAAGAGAATAAAAAATCTGGGTACTCACAATTTTTAAATGTTGCAGCAATTTAAAAAGAATTCTGCTATCTGAACCAAACCTAAGCATGTCTAGTTTGCAATCCATAGCTTAAAATCTGCAGAGCTGATTTTGACATCACACACGTGTGTGTGTGTGTGTGTGTGTGTGTTGTGTACACATGCATGCACTTGCCCATATGTGTGGAGGTGTCATTCCTCAGAAGCAATCCAACTTGATTATTATTATTATTATTATTAGTGTGTCAATGTGTATGTTGAAGGGGGCACACATGCCACAGTGCATCTCCTCAGTGCTGGGATTACAAGCGCATATTACCACATAGCTTTTTAAAAACATATTATTTTTATTTTATGTATATGAATGTTTTGCCTGAATGTATGTTAGTGAACCACATGTATACAGTGCTCATGGAGGACAGAAGAGGGTGTTGGAACTAGAGTTATGGATGGTTGTTAGCTTCCATGTGGGTGCTGGGAACTGAATCGGGGTCCTCTGCAAAAACAGCCAGTACTCTTAACTACTGAGCCATCTCTCCAACCCCTGGTTATAAACCCTGCCCTGCTTCTCTTCAGGGTCGAGAGCGCTTTTGGGCATTAGCCCCCTCTCAACCACTGGCTATTAATAAAAGACTCCTAATGTGGTATTCCTCTGGGCATCCTGCTTGGTATTACAACCCCAACACCACATAAGGCACCATGGCACATGCCTATAATACCAGTACTTAGGAGGTGGAGACAGGAAGATCAGAATTTTAAGGTCAACAACAGCCTGGACTACACAAAACCCTGGAGGGAGAGAGTGAGAGGTTCTCAGGTTGTCCCCATCTTTATTGCCCCATTCCCAGATAACTCCTACAACCATTCTAAGAAGGAATATATCATCTTATCAACCTTCTGTTTTATGGGTGAGAAATTTTATATTGTAAGAAGAGAGACTATCAGGAGGCAGAGGCAGGCAGATCTCTGCGAGTTCCAGCCAGCTGGAGCTACAGGGAGACCCTGACTCAAAAAGACCAAAAAAAGAGAAGAGAGACTAGGCTGGTTGTCTCTCTCTTATCTTAGTCTTGTCAGGCTACTCTAACAAAGTACCAGAGACTGGGTAGCTTGTAAACAAATTTCTTTTTCATGGTCTGGAGATCTGAAATCAGTATGCCAGCACAGTTAGGTTCTGATGCGGGCTCTTTTCAGGGTTGTAAACTGTCTTATATCTTCATAGGGTAAGAAGAAGGCTAGAGAGACCTAGCTCTCTGAGACCTTTTATAAAGGTACTAATCCCATTCATGAGGACTGTACCATCTTGTCCTAATGACCTAAATTACCTCCCAAAGTTCTGGCCTCCTAATACCATCTCATCAGCAGTTAAGACTCCAACATATGGATTTAGAGGTGGTGATGCAGGCTTCCTGTTCACAAGAAAGACTTAAGCACATACATTCTTTCTAGTTACCACAATGGCTCTCTTTCATTGCACTCCTGGTTTTGGTAGGCCTGTGACCTTCCAGGGTCAGCATTTCCCATGACTCACTTTCCAATGATCCTTTCTGGCCTCACAAAACCAGCTGGCCAAAGAACATAAGGGGGCCTACTGCCCCTCTCAGCATGGGTCCTGGCAGGCACTCTGAGAACTCAATTACTATTTGTCAAGTGAGCAAACATCCTCAGAGTAGCTGAAACATTGTCTTCAGAGTTCAGCCTGCCGAGCGCTGGTCAGGAGTGACTTGCACGGTAGTGCATGGTAGGACCTGTGCACAATGTCTTGTCAGTGGTGGTTTTATCTCACTTTATGCTAGGCAAACTCCCTGTGACCTGACGCATTATTATGTTTTTCGTTACTCAGTTCTACTTCCTAGCATTACCACCTTTTAGAGCTGACCTCAAAGCAATTTCCCCTGCTCTGACAAGAGGAACTCACAGTGAACTTTTCTTTTGTTCCCATTCCTCACGATCCACTTTGAGACCAGGCTGAAGTTGCCAAGGAGTTCAAACGGCCCCCGTGCTCCCACCAGTATGATTCAGAGGGATTAACCTTCCTTTCTGCACCCTCTTCCAA